AAATCCCCATCTACGTTGTTATATTTCTTTCCAATTACCATAAGACAAGCCATGTTAGCGCTAAGAGATGCAAGTTTAGCGCTAAGATCAACCACATCGCGATTTGAAGCTGCTTTTATGAGGAAATTCACAAGAATTTGAACCTCTTGTTTCCTCATAGATTGAAATGAATTGATCTTGACATTGTTTAACAATTGTAGAGTGCATAATTTACGCATATGTCTCCAATATGGTCCGTACTTTCCCATGATCAAATTTCTTTGTTTATAAAAAATGTAATAACATGCTGCATGGTATGGTCTACTAGCAAAAATTTGGTCATGGTCTTTTAAGAATTGTTGTGCTGCATAAGGAGAAGAAGCAACAATAGTAGGAATAAGACCAAAATATATGGTCATTATTGGACCATGTTTTTTGGCTATTTTATAAAGATCTTGGTGAAGATTTTCACCAAACATATGAAGATTTCCAATAAGTGGAAGCCTTATTGGACCAGGAGGAAGTTTTCTTCTCTTAATGAATTCTTTCACAAGGAATATTATAGCAACTGATGCAAGAGCTACTAGCCAAATTGAAGTCATGGTGGAGGAAATATTAATGAAAAAAGGAAAAATGATGGTAGTACTAATAAAGTTTTGGTACCAAATAATAAGGGAGGCTCAAGGACCATGCTAGTCTTAAAAATGTCAAATATGGGTAGAGGGATGAGAATTTGATCTCGTTATATGGACTTTGACAAATCTCCTCTCATGATATAACTTTTGAGGTTGAGTTAGGATCATGTGTTATATCTTTATATGGTATAAAGTCAGGTCCATCCTGTTTGGGCTCCTGGTCCACGCTCCAGTCGGGTATGGACGTGAAGGGGGGTGTTAGAGTGGTAAAAGTCCCACATTGATTGGGGAATGGACTGGCAGTCTCCTTACTTGGACAATCCTCCCCTCATGAGCTAGCTTCCATTTAAAAATGTTCACGCTCCAGTTGAGGTCTGAGCGTACTGGGGAATGTTAAGATATTCCACATCGATAGAAGGATGAGAATTTGGTCTCCTTTTATGGACTTGGACACACCTCTACTCATGACCTCACTTCATGTGTTAGCGTTTGAGGTTGAGTTAGACTCAGTGTCATATCTTTACAAAATACATAACCACTTCCTCTTAAGGCCACATTTTTAATTTGGTACTTTATTTCAAATAGTATTCCATTTAATTCTCTTAAATCTGTTTTTATGTACCATCTAAATAGTATAAATACAAAATACTTTTAGTATTTTTATTTGTTTTCTTAAACAGTAGTTTTGCGCTTAAAAAATGGATAGGTATCTATCAATTTCCGTATAAAAATTACGGATACAAATCCAAGTTTTGATGCTTTTATTATTTTTGTTTGTATTCTTCAATTGTAGTTTTACATTTTAAAAATCGACAGATATCCTTCTGATTTTGTACAGAAAAAAATGATGGACGTCCTTTAATTTTTCTTATTCTTTTTTTTACTTTTGGTAGTTTTGTGCAAAAAATAACTGATGAAAGCATGTTGATTTTTTAAAATCTGACAGTTTTCTTTTAAAGGAAATGATTGACAAACCGACGGAATTTATGAGATTTTAGCAGTTTTTAGTAGTATTATTAGCTACGAATATTTTAACTATATTGAAGATGAACTACTTTACCCTTATTGGAGCTGAGAAAATTAATGAGACATTATTTATATATAGTATCTTTCCCCTTGTACAAATAAAATTGTATAATTTTATTTGTACGGAGGGAGAGAGGCGAGAGAGAGTTGAAAAAGAGGAGAACGGCAAGGGACATTTCAAAGAGAGGAGAAGAAAGCTAATGACAACAAGTTTGCTTCGAATGAAATTAATTAAAATTAAATGACTATAGCTATAACATATTTTTTAAATTAGTAATTTGTTATAATGAACAATTTTTTTCATTTTAAAACTCTTTCTATTATTTTTAAATTTTTACCAAGTCAAATACCTTTAAAGAGTAAGATAAATAAAATATTATGTAATTAATCAAATACCTTAAAAAAGATAATATCATACTTAAGTACAATTAGAAATAATTTAATTTTAATTCCTTTATCCTTAATAAAGTAATCTACAACTATATAATTAATAAATAATTTTTATGATAAATTTAAAAAAAAAATTCTATTTAAAAAAAATGAGAAAGAAGTATATAAGATGGACATGATTGGGGTGAACAATAAAGCTTTTGTCTTGGCCTAAAAAGTAGTACGATAATATTTGTGCACTCAAAGTGTTATCTTTAATATTGATGTGAAAGATGATAAATTTCACTTGTTAAATTTGTGAATGCGGGTTACTTAGTAAACGTTGATTCATAGCTGAATATGAAATATGTTATTTATATATTAATTTTTTATAATTTATATACTATTTAATAAAAAAAATAAATTAATTATATATAGAGTTAATTATATAATGCGTAATTGACGATTAAAAAAATCACACAACAACTAATACATATCTAAATTACATAGATATCTACTTATATAGTTTAATATAATTTATACATATATAATAATCCGTGCATGATTGATATTTTTATATAAAATAATATATAAATTCACGTGCAAATGGGATATTATCTCTTCTTTTTTTCGAACACACAAGATATATCCAATTTCCTGTGTCCATATATAGATAGATAAGCATATATTATGCTATATATGATAAAAACCTTTCCATTTCAACCATTTCTTCACAAACATAAGCATGTGAGAAATTTCATTTTTCCATGAAATGCAGTTATCATATTTGAGATTAAATCTATCTAAAATAAATCATCAAAGATTTGACATATATTTAGCCGACTTAACAGTTACCTATAAATTATACAAGTGAAATAAGCTAATATCCACATTTGTAAAATATCGTACTAAAGTCAATTAATATCACGTAAAATAAAAAAGAAAGAATCATATATAACATGAAGGGAGGCATAAACAAGCCTATTGAGCAAAAAGGATGTCGAACCACATCCCTTTAATTTCTCGATTCTTTATTCATATACATTCATACTATGCATAAAGATCGATATACATTTAATAAAATGACGTTACTTCACAAAAGTTACCTGGTGCATTGGTTTTGCTATAATCTTGTATAAAATTAATACCATACTTTATTGATAATTTAAAAACTCATATAAATAATATATGTATGAAGTATGAAAATATTTATAAATTATTCTATGCATGATTGGATATAGAATCAGTAGTACCTAAACAATTTATAATTTATGAGTAATTAATACCTATATACAATAATACACAACCCTATTAAAACTTCACTTTCTTTTATTCCCACACGAGATAATAGTCATAGGCATATGAATGATAGGGCGTTTTCAATGAAATTTAGATATTTATGAGTTAATCACTTATTACTCATAAGGCTGTCTGACTGGCATGCACTATAATAGTACTACAGGCATGCACTATAATAGTTAATTTTCGATAAAAGAAATCCAAATATTATTTTAATTTTAGTGAAATTTATTATATTTAATTTTTTTGGGCCATAATATTTTAAATTTATTAAATTTCTAACAATCTATTTATAATATTTTCTATAAATAATAATTAATATATCTTTTGAGAAAAATACCTATAATTTATTATTGAAAAACAAAAGTTGAGCTACTGTTTTTTTTAGGCATGTGGGGCTAACCTTTGATATTGTAGCACAAGAATTCCAGCAACATGACAAAAGACTTTGGAGGGTTGGGGGTGGGGGGATGCCATATATTTGAGACAGAAATCTGTCTAAAATAAATCATCAAAGATTTGCATATATAAGTCGACATTTAAACAGTCACCTGGCCCATAAATGATAAATCACGTGCTATATTATGAAAATATTTATTATATATATCGAATATAATTTTTTAATTAAATATATATTTTTTAAGAATTAACAAAATTATATAATCGTCGCCTCTTTCTCAATATTTTTTCCTTTTCTTCTTTTCACTATTCAGCTTCTTCGTCTCTTTATGTCTTTTTACTTTTATTACTATAACAAAAATGATTATTAATGCAATTAAGAATTAATTTTTAATTGCCGTTAAATATATATTTTTTAGCGGTAATTGTCACTTTTTGTGTATGTTCCTAAAGCCTTCAGCGACATTGATTTTGATGACACTTAATTAATGAGTCCGAAATTTAAAGGGTACAAAATATTAACAAAAATTTCAAAACGGTATATAAAATTTTATATTAGCCAAAACGGTAAAATCGCTGCAGATACAGCGACTTACCTCACCTTAAAAAGTAAAATCGCTGCCTCAACAGTGATTTTGCAAAAGTTTTTTTTTAATAAAAAAATGAAATCGCTGCCTAAGCAGCGATTTCAAATTTTTGTTTCTTTCAAATCGCTGCCTTGGCAGCGATTTTATTTTATTTTTTAATTATATTTTTTTTTAAAAAAAATAAGGTATATCGCTGCCAGTGCAGTGATTTATAAAAAAAAAAAATTTAGCAGCGATTTATTTTATAAATTATTTTTTAATTAAATCGCTGCAGGAAGCTGTTTTCAAAAAAAAAAATGTTAAAGCAGCGATTTTATATAAAAAAAATTTATAATATTTTTTAAAATTTAAATATATAACTTATAAGAAAATATACATTTTTTTTAAAAAAAATTAAAAATAAGTAAAGTAATAAATATATTTTCTTTCTAAAAAAAGATATTATATTGAATTTAAATTTAAATAATATTTGAATTCAAATAATTAATTTTTTTAAATAAAAAATTAAAGGCAACAAAATTATTGAATTTTATTTTAAAACAAAATGATATATATATATATATATATATATATATATATATATATATATATATAAGTTAAAGATGATCATATCACATTGAATAGTAAAAAAATTGTTTTTGTTGTAAATAGTTGAATAAAGTGGTCATATGTAAATAATACTATTATGCTTTCAATGCTATAAATTGGACTCTTATCCTTCATATTCATATTTCATTCTACTTTCAATCTTCCAACAATCTTAGGTAAATAAAGTCATTTGAATATTATGGGAGAGTCTAGCCAAAATTTTAGTCATTTGAATTTTTTCTCATCGGATTCAACTAATAGGTAAATAAAGTAATATTTCTTATTTCTTAAAAACTATTTTTCTTATATGTAATATATTTATATTATTATTTTTATAGGTATGATCAAATTCAAAATGCAGTGAATTATTGTACACAAATTGTAAATAATAATGTTATGGGTGATGAACGAGTTGGTGAGTTGCACAATGATGAACCTTCCGAGCATGAATTAACAGACAGTGATGATATGTATGACGACGACGATGATAATATGGATAATGCACCTAATGCATCCGTTGAAGATCAAAGTATTAATTATCATTCTACAGCGATTCCATACTTAGATCACACTGAAGAATATGCAGAAGATTTTATCTACACGAGAGATGACGGTTCCATTCGAACGACACTTTGGAATTCAAACAATACTTAACATATCCAGTCAGGTTCGATTGTTGAAAACTAAATATTTTATAGTTGTTTATTTATTTCATGTTGATTAATTTAATTTGTATATGCAACTAGGTATGTTATTTATGAATAAGATGCAAATGAAATCTGCAGTAAGAGCATATAGTCTTACTATTAAAAAAGAATTTCTTTGTGATCAATTTCTTTATATTTATTTGTTGACATGAATTTAATTTGTCTTGTGCATTTTAAATATTGTACGTATAATATCTTTACATTATTATTATATTATTGATTTGAACTCTATTAAAAAATAATGATTTGACCTAATATAAAAAGTATTGATTTGATCCAACATAAAAAGTATTGATTTGACCTATGACATAAAGAACATTAAATCCTCCAAACTTGTTCAAACATAAAAAAAAGAGGAAGAATCTCATTACTTTGTTCAAACTTGCACGAAACAACAAAATTTACATATTTCAAAATTCGAATCTTCGCCTTTTAGAGTAAAGGTGCATAAAAAAATTATTCTTCTGAATCCGAATCCTCTACATCTTCATTTTCAAAATCTTCCTCATTTTGATATTGACTGTCTGTTCCATCTAGTTGATTTGTGTAGCCTAGATGTTCTCTGATGTGGATTTTGTCTATTAAGAATTAAATTTTGTGAAGCCCCATCATTAAATCTTGAATCATCGAACACAGTTACCTATAATACAATATAACATAATATAATCAAATAAACATGCAATAAAAATAATAATAAAAATTATAAAAAGTTAAAAAAATTGTATGAAAATTATTATACTTACATTCGAAAAATTCAATCTTCCACCAAATGGAGAATTATGTATAGGAAATTCACGCATACCATGTTGAATACCATATTGAGATCCACTAAATTGCGCAAAACCAGATATTGGAACCTGTGGAGTTACAAAACCAACTGTTTGCTGACTAGAAAAATTAACATTAGTGTTAGAGGGCCCTGTAGGAAAATCAAACGTGGGATAATAAGGCTCGGGAGTCGCCACATTAGTGTTAGAGGGCCTGCAGAAAAATCAAACGTGGGATAATAAGGCTCGGGAGTCGCCACATTAGTGTTAGATGGCCCTGCAGAAAAACAACTGTTTCATTAGCGGTCCTTCTACCTCGACGAGCACCCTCTCTCGGTGTTGTTTGTCGTGATCGGCGAGATACTTGTACTGGTGGTGGTTCATCGTATTGAGTGAGAGGATTGTAATCAGGATCAAAGCTCAATCGTGTTCCCTGAAAGGCCGCATTCATTGACTCCATTGAAATACGAGCCGACTTCCTCTGCATATTGTCTCATTTCATTAGATTGATTTTCATCATTTTCAATCATCCGAGCTCGATGATAGTGCATTTCATGACCCCGAGCCTATAATGAATAAACAAATATTAATAACAAAAAAATTATAAGATTGACATAATAATTAAAAATTTACATAATATACATACTAATGCCTCATGTCTTCCTGCCATGTGTTGATACCCTTTTTTTACAACATGTTGTGTAACGACCTGTTTAGTCGTTTTGAGCAGCAGATTTTATTTCTGGAAAAACAGGCTGAGGCGACGGACCCAACGACGATCCGTCATGGGCACGACGGACCGTCGCAGGGTCTCGTTTCAAAACACTTAGAAAAACTGAAAATTGGGTACTGAAAATCGACTCTCTGAACTTCGTAACGAAATGGCAGGACGAACCGTCACAGGTGTGACGGACCGTCATAGACCCTTGGTGGAAATATTGGGTCTCTGAACTTTGCGACGACCTGCAGGACGGACCATCGCAAGCACGACGGCCCGTCACAGGTTGCGCAATCCTAGTCCGGGTCGGATTTCTTGATACGTTTTAAGGGACGTTTTTGACTATTCTTGCCTTAATTATAAAGTTAGTGGGTTAATGTTAATAAGTCTAATTACTTGGGGGTTAAAAGAGGTAACCTTAAGTTAATTAGTGGGGCATTATTGCCATC